AAGGATGTGATCCCACTTCGCGATGAACCTTTCAAGTCGCTCCTCTTCAGTATAGAAAGATGAAACACTGCATCGCAAGTTTGAGAGCTCGATTATCCTGAACGATTGCTCTCCGATATTCGCAGTCCTTAAGTGGTCGTATAAGAGCCACAGGATCTGCCTACTCTTGATGCGATTGTTGGAGCGTTGAGCGGCTTCGGTGAGACGATTAATCTTATCGATAATTGCAACAGTCTTGATGCACTTCCGAATGGCTGCATTGAACCTGGCTTCAAGGATGTGGTACTTTACATTCCCCATCCAGTTCATCAAAGGTCTTTGCCTTCTCGACTTCAGTTAGCCAATTGATGACGTAAAGTCCATCATAGCTGTAGGCATTGCTAACAGCTTCCTTCATATTGGCTATCCATACCCTCAGCCCAGCCGCGTCGGGCTCTGGCGGGAGGTCTATGGGAATGCACTTAGTCGCAGCTGTACAGTTCGGATCATGGTGGCTACTGTATCCGCCGCCACCAGTTCCGAAAAGATGCTGTGGAACCTGAGAACTACCGATTGACAGTGCACATACAGGACAAAGGCGAGTAGCCTTCGGAATGCAAATCTCACATGCCCTTTTCATGCATATCTTACATTCCCCAATTTTGCTGGGGTCAGGAATGTCCCGATCACACATCCGACAGTTCTTGTCAGGAGGATCGGGGCCGCGCATGGTCGGCGGCTCAAGGCCTGAAGGATCCTTCGGCCTTGTACCGTTGGGATCAAATCCTGGATAATATCCGGTTTCACGTTTATCCAGGGGCACGGATTGCGTAGCCTTCGGAGGACTCTGAAGGTCAGCCGCGTTGGGTTGACCCCCAGTTGGAGTGCCACGGAATCTGTCAACGGATGGCCGCAGAGGCGGCGAGTACGACCGCGTCGGGTTCGTCTCAGGTACGCCTCCAGGCGATCTATTCCTGACACGGTTACCATCGGGATCCCTTCTTCTCCTAGTTTCATCCCTAAGGCACGCAAGACAACAGGGACCCTGGACAAATCCAAATCTCCTGTAGTCATCCTGCCCAGCAGAATGTCTGGTGCAGTAGTAGGTCTTACAAAACTGACACTCAATTCCCTTGGTCAGGAACGAGCTCTCCCTACAGACTCCGCATCGGGGTCCGTTACGGGAACACTCTTCACACAGGTTCTCTTTAAACGAGAAACAATACTCACAAATATCACCTCTGCATCCCTTGCAGTGAAACTCAGCCATGAGATGATTATATCCATCACCTACGTATTTACATCTGAGTTTACCAGGGTCGCCAGGGTTCCCACCGGCGGCACTCTTCTTCCCCCCTCCTCCTGGGCTTTGCCAATCTGGAGGAGGAGGTGGTGGAGGATCATCATCAGGAGGGCCAGGTGGAGGTGGCCGCTTGTCCGGAGTACGGGACGCGGCACGCCTTCCTCCTGTGTGATCGTTCAATCCACTACTTGAGGCCTGGTTCGAGTGCCTTGACTCGAGGGAGTTAATTCTCTGGGCCGTATTACCCAGCACCTCGAGCATTTGCTCGAGCTTACTGTTGAGCGTAGTCGAAACGGCCATGTTATGAGTATTTTGCTTGTCCGTGTAGGATTTGCAGTCCCTTGACTTTATCTCAAGGTTGGCTTGTGTCTCATAAAGTTGGTCTTTAACCCACTTTATGCCGTCCCTATTATTGGTCCAGCGATGTTCGACATCTTGCATCATCCTATCAATCTGACATACCCTAGTGGACAGGTCCTCGATTTTGAGGTTTACACCACCAATCGCAGGATGGTTGGATTGGCTCTCCACTAGAGATCTCTCGATCATATCAACACGAGCTATAAGCCCGGTTACACGATCAGAAAGAGATTCAAAAACAGTTTGAACCTGGGTGATGGAGCGAGCAACATCATCATAGCTGGCTCGCTCGTTTAGGGCATCGCCTATGCTTATCATGCGATCGGCAACGATCTTGACGCGTTGGCCAATCTCGGTCACGATGTCCTTAGTCCCTTGTGACAGCTGCATGGCCGCGTTTGCAGCCTGCGTACACGTGCTACTCACATGGACGCATTGGTCGTATTTGGCCCTCCACGAGTTAACCTCAGTGGAGAGCTGCTTGATGCATTGATCACTTCTATCATTCCTACGCCCAAGGTCTTCGACCTTAGCAACCAGGCGATGGATGATCGCACTTACCGAAGAATCCACTCTCCCTCTTTCAAGGGCTGTTACAAGATCAGCAACCTCGTTGGGTTGCTCCTCACTCACAGGACCAAATCCTGATCCGCGATCTCGGGGAGTGGACAAATCAACCATGATTGGGTTGGATCTCGGAGGAGTTCTGAAATCATCCTGCACGGCCGTTGATGGCCGTGGGAACTCACTCCGATTAGGAGATTGACTCTGATACGGAGCAGATCTCCTAGCATCACGAACCGCAGAGGGTTGTGTCATGCCCAGGCCTTTGGCCACGGACAGTTTAGGAACAATAGGCCTATCCGTCCGCATAGGAACATCAGGTCTCGAGTCAGCAATAACAATGTCATTCAAGTCGGTCGCATTGGACACTCTAGACTCAGACATCGATTCAATATCAGTCGCATTACTGATGGTATGATTGCGACTAGAACTTGATGCCATCATGGACTCAGACTCTATCGGAACATTAGCTCCGTCCATGTTGTCCAGAGCGAAAATGGAAGCCGCGTTGGGCGTAGGGCGAACACCTTGCGCGTTCAAGCCACTTGACCTATTAAATTCCTCCTGGAATGCTTCGATCCCATCAAGCATGTTAACGAGTGTGTCCGCGTTTAACGGGTCTCTACCAATGATCGACGCTGGATCACCTGATCGACCGCGTCCTGAGTCCCGCGTATTGGGGTTACCCCTGTGGGCAGTTTCCCGATCCATCCCCCTTGCCCTATGCGATCCAGTCGAATTTGACCTTGATCGTTTACTTGGAGTTGGACTAGGATGTAAATCCAATCTATCTACGATATTACGCTCCCTAGGGCTCTCAAATCCTGAAAGTCCTGGGGGAGGGGACATGTCCTCATGGTCGGGTTTACCGACGGTCTTGGCCTGACGTTACGGCTGGCCACGTCAGGATTGAGATTCTCAATCGACAAAGGTAGCATGAATTCATCGCTTCCAGCAGCCCGTTTTGGGCTTTGGAATTGCGGGAAAGATGACGGGGCGGGTGGCCCTGGCATCCATGCGGCAAAATCCATACCAAAAATGTTTCCGTCGTTGGGCCATGAGGCTCTCCAATCGAGCCCACCGGATTCGGTCGGCAGATGAACATCAAATGCAACTCCACTGGATGTACCAGGTTCGGGATTACCGAGCACTTGAAAAGCTATGCTACTGGTTGGCACAGGTCTACTGCTGCCTCGGGAGTCACGAATTTCGGACTGACCAATATTCATCAGCTCCGGGAAAGATGAGGATTGAGCTCCAGGTGCAATACCGGGCTCGTCATCATCACGTCCTGAGACGGAATCATCATGGTCAGGACGATTAGACCCACGACCCTGAGAGCGATTAGCTCTTGAGGCATTAGACGATAGATCATCAGTGCGAGTAGCACTGGATCTCTCTGAAGGCATTGCTTCTGAAAAAGTGTGGTCCGACAAAAAGTCAGGACCGGAAAACATCGGCTGTCCGGGCACTTGGTCGTCATTCACAACGTCCAAGATTCCGGCCTGGCCGAGAACCCACTCATCGGTCACCACATGAGGTCCATCCTCGGTGATTCCCGCCATGAGTCCTACAGTAGCCTATGGAAAACGGCGCCTGCAGGGTTGTTATTAAATGGGGTTCGCGGTGCCAACCGAGGACGAATCCTACGGCTGATAACCTGCGAAAGGGTTTGAAACAGTATTTCGGGAGAGAATAAACAGGCCCTAACCCACCAACAAGAAGAGACAGTTTAAGCCCCCCAGTCCCAAGGGCAAAGTGGTGCCCTCGGCTGGCAATGAACCACACAGATAACAAACGGGGGATCCTGTTTAACCGCAAAACCCAATCAGGAAAGGGGACCAGCGCAGCCAACCAAGCGAGCGCAGCAAGCAAGCGAGCAAAGCAATTAACCAAGCAAAAGCGGAGCAGCAGCAACAAAGCAAGTTCCCAACCCTTAACTCCTGACCCACAACCAGCAACGCTGCCACCGCCGGCTGACGAACACGCGGTCGTTTTCCGCGTGGTCGCTGCGGCGCCGTGTACAGCTAGCCGACGTTATGGCGGGAGCGGTCGCCGGAACAGTAAACTTGAGCCAAACGGCGCATTGGCCGTGGCGTTGAAACATGTTGCGATAAAACTACATGCCCCCAAAAACAGTTGGAATCCCCTGCGGTGGAACTAAATGAACCAACTACATCCAACCACATGGTACAGCGCAATGAACTAGAGGGTTGTCCCTCTTCCCCAGCTATTCAGGGCGTACCCTGGCGTGGTGTGCTTTGAGGTGAGGTCAGCTGGTCAGCTCCGTGGCTCTTAGCATCCCCACGCGGTCTCTGCTCCCTACCCAACCCCCGGTGTCCAGTCAGAATCAGCTACGGTAGCTTGAAAAACGCACCGAACCCTGTGCCATGCTGGCCCTATGGATCAGCTTCCCCGTCCTACCCACCAAGTATCACAAATCGCTGGCCTCAAAAGAACTCTCTTCAACTACACCCAGCAGGGCATGACCTCAAAAAATGGAAGGCCCTTCTTCCCAAAACGCTCCAAACGAGGTAAGCAACCCCATTTCCTTCCTTTGACAACTTCCCCAGAGACGGTGAGAAAATACGACCGTTTTCCCAAACAAACCTTCAGAAACGGTGACAACAGAATGCCCTTCTCCCAACACTCGGTTGCTTTCTGCTCCCCTGCTAAAAGATTAACTTTTAGTGGTTTAATGGAAAACCCACTAGTTGGCAAAAAGTTCAAGTCCTGACATCAAAGCAAAATGCACCAAAGACAATGCCCTCCTCCCAAAACGAACGGCGAAATCCTTCACGATGAGCAGGTGGATCTGCGCGGCGTCCCCCGCGATGGCGGAGGTGGAGATGCTCAGCTCCGAGTGGCTCCGGTCGATCACGGCCTGCCGAGGCGCCCAAACCGGGCGGCGTCAAGGTGAAGGACCCAAACGCCAAGGCCCCGACCCAAGAACTGCAGGTGGGAAATGGAATCCCAAAGACCAACCCCCTAACGTCTGTGATACAACAAACAAGGCTTCCCAAACCCACCTAGATAGCCAAGTTGCGATCGCTTTTCTCAGTCACTGTTGCTGGTTTTCGGGCTAAAGTGCATGGAAAAAAACAGCAAGTTGCGATCCAGGCAAGAACTGCAGGTGGGAAATGGAATCCACTTCTATGATACAACAAGTAGGGCTTCCCAAAGACCAACCCCCCATATCAAGGGGGAGATTCTCTTGTATTACAGAAGTGGGGATCAACCTCAGCACCCAACAACTGCGTTTGTCCCATGCTTCTAAACTGCGCTGGAAGGTAAATGGCGTTTCTTGTGGCGAGGATGTGGGAGGAACCAGGCGCTAAACAATTACAAACCTGACTTTTTCAAGGTTTGGCCAAATGGCTGTGGCTCAAAAAACCGGTACCCAAAATGGAACCCTGGTAAGTGGAAACATGGACCAAAACCTGCGTAACCCCTCCTATTTAATTTTGAGCCACACCCAAATGGTCCTCACAAACCAGCCTACTGGTTTTGGACCCTAGATTTCACCATGGTTCAATTGCCTTCCTAAACCTCTGGTTTCCCTTCAAAGAGAACCCCTGATCCCGATGTCCTTTTGGACAAGATGGGCCCCACCTTAGTGGAGCAAGCTGAATCCTGCACCAGCTAAGAAACCATGGAATGCTTTTCGATTCCCCTGTTTTTTGTTGTTTTTTTTTTTTATTATTATTATATTTTTTGTGTGTGTGTGTGTTTAAAAACAAAACAAAAAAAGTTGCAACCATGGTTCCGAGGTGCTGCGATTTCTGGATTTCGCCACCATCAGTTCTGTCTATCGCAATCTGCGCGGAACCAAAGTGCAACTTGCTGTCCACTCTCAAGCCAAGTCCTACATGGCTGCAAGGTTCCCAAACATGCAACCAGGAAACCAAACTACTTAGGTCCTCCAGTAGAGAGGTTAGAATCAGGGTACCCTTTTTTGTAGTGTATTGTTTGGAGGGGACCCTCCCCCAAAAAAAGGGTAGAAGGGCACTACTGGGGGACCTAGCAAATCAAGATGTGTCACCATAGGGGAACAAAAGAACTTGACCCAGCGTGCATCCAATCTGCAGCGCTCTTTTCCTCGGTGCAGGTCTGTCGGCGCACCAAGGGCAGGAGCGACGTGGAATGACGCTGTGCAGTGTCCCGACGCCACAAGAGTGCAACTGATAACGTGCAAAAAGTTGGTGCACGAAAGCGATAAAAATGTCCATGTAGTTCGGTAAACATTTGGAACTTGGTACGCTCAAACGATGCACGAAGGGTATCTTTCTGCTATATACACTGTGGCAGCAGATGTGGACCACTCAAAAACATCCAAACACAAAACTGCTTGAAATTTCATGCCTGCCAATAGAAAGATGCCCTGGAACTGTGTCCCATTTGCCGGGATCGCCCTGTAAGGCAAAACGCACCACACCCATGCGTAGCTAGGCAACAGCTGAGCCCATCTGAGCAAGGGCAAACACCTATCAACATCTGCAAGCATGCTTGCTCGCGCTCGGAAACACAACATATGGAGGTGCCTGAAAATTAGGGACCAAATCCTGCAGGTGATTGGTGTGCTGTTGCTTCCCTTAAGTGATCAAAAAGGGGGGTCCAATTTTGAGACATCCATTTCGAGCATCTCTCGACACATTTCAAATGATTCACCTGACAAGCCTGCCAGGGCTCACGCTTTGAATGGCATTCTGCTTGCGCAAACGATAAGGCCGGCAGCGCGTAATTGGAATGCCCGTGTCGTCGTCATCATTCACCATGAAAACGGACACCAGCACCTTCTCGCGTGCATCCACAGCATGCCACTCCAGATCCTCTGTGAGCGCGACAAACTCATCTTGGTTGCAGTGCATTGGCCACAAGTTGGTCTCGAGCCACTCAAACCATGGGTCAGTCTCGTGTGCAACCGCGTACTTGGCTTCCAGATATCCGTATGAAACATCTGACACGTGGAAGAGTTGCCAATCACCAACCTGGGAAGTGGAAGACACAACGGCGACCCCGTTTTGGCGATGCCTTTTATCACGGCAACCCACCATGACACCTGTTCATTTTAACAAGCCAACCAAACCTCGGGGTCAAAGCAGGGGCTTCGAAACACAAGCACATTACGCATCCGCTGCATGGTGCCCTCTGGGAACATCAAACTTGGCCTACCTAGTATGTTTGGCAAACCTCGACTGGGCGCGAAAACTTGGGGGGGGGTCTGGAGAATGTGTTTCACACATGGCTTCTTGAATGCCGAAGCCTCGTCCATGTCGTTCTTCAAGAGGCTGGAAACGGGAAAGGCCAGCCCCGTCACAGTGCTCAAAGCCTCCGGCTCCGGATAAACCGTGACGGTGATCAGCCCGCCGTGGTGATTGTTCGCGCTGAACCACGTGCCCTGCGGGGGCCAAGCCCCGCTCGTCTCTTCCGGTGGGAACGGGCTTAAACACCGCTTCAAGGCGCAAACAAAGCGTCCGAGCATGGTGGCGCGGCCCCATTTTTCATGAGTGACAACCTCCCGTTGGTCTGCATGTGAGATTCCATGAACAAAGAGTCCGAACACTCTTGCACAGCCCCATGTTGAATGAATAGGCAACCTCCTCGGTGTGTCTTTTTTGGTGGTACCCAGTTTTTGAGGAAAACCCCAATTTGGGGTCCCCCCCCAAAAAAAAAGACACGCTCAGGCTGCTCTCAAATGCCAACTCCCCGGCCTTCGGCGCTTCGTCATACACTAGGGCGCCATCAAAGAAGTCGTCCACACAGCGGTTTCCCTTCCTGAACCGCGTCCCTCGAGATGGGTATGTGGGTCTGTCTTTTTGGTCTTCTTGAGGCTAGCCCCTTTTGGAGGTTGGTTTCAAGCGAAACCAACAGGAAAACCACCATTTTGTGGGGTCCCGCTACATAAGATACACCCATCGCAGGGCATTTGCCAAACATTTCTTGATATGCGCAATCGAAAGCCATGAACACCTTGTAAGGAAGTCCAGACAACATATTACATGTTTGCAGTACTTACAAGCCCTAAAATAAGAATTGGTGATACCCAACGAAGGTCCCGTGAGTTTTTTTTGGAGTTGACCGGGCAGGCACGTCGTCTCAGAGCTCAGGAAAGGAACCGTGTCTCTCGCTTTTTGAGAGTAGCCCTGGCTTTGGGTTTAAAGGGAAGCCAAAGGAAAACCACATTGTTTTGTTTTTCTTGCTCTTCTTCTTTTCCTTTTTTCTTGGGTTGGGTGGGGGGGGGGTTCCCACAAAACCCAAAACACTCGGATTTGCCTGGACTAGAATTCTCGAATGGCTTTTTTGCATGTTCGAAAATCCGTCCAGAAGATGTCCTACACCTGGAACATGAAAGCAGCGATTGGGATAAGCCGCGGTCAAACAGGACATGGGAAACTTGGTGAGCTCTCCCTACCAAAAGTGTCCTAAAGGCGGAATAGATGGCCCTGGTAGATGATTAAACGACCAGGTAAACCAGGGCCATCTACTTTTCTAGCAAAACACCAAAAAGGACACCTATGCTCCCTACAGTTAGCGCTCAGCCCCGATGTCTCTTCCAAATTGATTGACCATGCACTAGTGGCTATCTTGACCAAACCCCAATCCGGGTGCCCAAACAAGGGTGGCGTACCTTTTTTTGAGAAACTCGTGTGCATATATATATATATATATATATATATATTAAGACTACGTGGTGAGGGCAGGTGTCCCTCGACCCCAACCTCTTGAAAGGCGCCAACTCGAAAAAGACGCAAACACAGGCGGCCCATGGACGTGGACAAGTCTCAGAACGCCGTCTTTCTGGATGTCCTGAAAGTTCCTGTGGCTCGTTGCATGGACCCACTCCCGCACGATGGGATGCTGCATCGTGTCCGGCGCGTGTTTTTTTCTCCGCCGAAGGCGTGTGCCTCTGTCTTGAGCCCAATTCTTGCAGCGCAGGGGAGGTACAACCTTGGTAAGTCGCCTCTGTTTCATCCACTAAAGTTGATGAAAAACCACACAACGCGAACCAACCAACCAACCAACAAACAAACAAACAAACAAATCCAGCCAACGAGCTGAGTCCCTTATGCCATGGTTGCTACCCACTCAGCGTCCCAAACCATCCAAGTGAGACACAGCGGTGTTGCTGGTGCAGTGAGGGATGCTGCCTTCAACTGCCCCAGGTTTTTGAGGGTCACCCCGGTGCCAGGTAGGAGAAACTCCTGTCAACCGTGTTTTTCAGGGTTGCATTCGGAAACCCAACCACCGAACCCACTAAAAGCAACAACAAACCCGAGGAACCGGACTGGGAACGAAGAGAAGCACCCCCTCGCCAGGTTTGGCTCATGCGGTGGGGGAGGAGGGGGGGAGAGGGGGGGTGGAAGCTGTGGGGCAGGAAATGGCAACTTCAGGGAGCCGCAAATTGTCCCAAAAGAGCCGACTTTCCACTCTGAGGAGCAACAGCCTTCTCACTCCCTTCTTAAAACACAAAAGACAGCCCCTGCAAGTATAGAACTTGAATTGAAGGGGTTCTGTATGTTCCCAAAACGAGAAACTCTTGCAACCCTCCTCACTCCTGTTGTGAAACATAAGCCTTGCATTCTCGTCAGCCTTTATTCAGGGCCCATGTCTGTGTGTTGCAAAGGGCATGCAGCTGTCAACGCCACTTGCTAAGATTATGGAGGTATGGGTTATGGCTTCCATAGCACCAACAAAACTGGTGCCGTACCCCATAAATGCAGTGTTTTCTATAATGGCATGTAAGATCCATGCCTACAAAATACATATGACAACTGAAGGAAAGCTGGAGTTCTCAGGCGGGAACACGGTGTTTCTTGGGGACCTTCCCAAACGCAAACAGAAAGAACCTGACAGAAGCTTCCAGAGTCCCATATGGGCATTTTCAAACATGCAGATTAAGCCATCCAGCACCAGGTGGTCCCATTTGGATACCCACCAGAAGCCAATGCTACTGACACAAAGTCTGCAACCAAAGGCGCCTCGGAGCTGTGGGTCTTTTTTCATCGGTGGCAAAAATCTGTGGGGCTTCCGCCGATTCCGGGCTTGTCTTCCTTGGTGCTTGAGCGCCAAGTTTCAAGCGCCTGAATCGGATCCGGACCTGTGGATTCCTGGGGGGCAAGCGGCGTTTTTTCTTTTTGGGCTGGTTGCGTTTAAAGAAAACAACCCATCCATAGACAAAGGAACATAAGGCACCACAGGTCTGAGGAATTAAAACTCAGCTTCCGAAGACCTTCACTGACAAGAAGCTCAACTAGGTATCCATGCCCCATGTCCCGGTTGACTAGGGTGGCTGGCGTAGCGCCCTTGTGATACCGTGGATGGTTGCGAAATCCAGAAATCGCACCACCTCGAAACCATGGTTGAAAAACCATTGCTTGCTAGTATTTACAGGGGAATCGAATGATTCCAGGGTTTCTTTGGTGGTGCGAATTGGATTTCGTCCATCCACCGTAGCTTCGTTTTGTGGAAGGTCTTCCTAGGGCGCTATCTGTTTGCGAAGCTGAAATTTCCAGGCATCGTTCATGCCATGCACGGCTTGTCTGTACCTTCAGCCAACCAGATTCAGAAACCTTCTGACATGCAAGCTCCCAAAATTTCTCAGGAATGAGTGAGTGTGTTTATGTGCCTGTTGGTCAATTGCCCCCGCCAGCATAGCAAGGACTTGCCCGGAAAGGCATCCTCCTGAGCGTCTTGCCCTGTCTGGCTGACCAACGCCAAAGCTTCCACACGGCACGGCCAACATCCTTTAGGCCTGTTCATGAAAGAAAAGCGCTGCGTGTGTGTGTGTGTGTGTCCTGATATGGCGGCAGCACAAGTGTATGCATCAAGATTTAAGATATCAGTTGGTTGGATACGACCATAATATGGGTAATCGGTATAGCTCAAAACGGGATTGCCTTCTGCAGCATGAACATAACACCAGTCACATGATCCTAGTGCTCACGACTAGATGGTTATGGTTCCCTCAATAGGAATCATTAACCATTCAGGATCCTTACTATTAGATGGATGACCATCCCCATCCATTTGCTTAAGTTCGCTGGGAAAAATAAAAATATTTCCAATAATGATAGTTTCCCATTAGAATCAACAGGGGAAAAAAATCATTTCAGCAAATGGAAGTCCCCGTTAACCCCAAGCTTACTGGGACTTTTGACCATGGCACAAAAAAAGCCTCGCATTGAACACAAAGCCTTGGGGGTCCATGGGAGCTGCGAATCCCCAGGCGGAGTTCTTTCTGTGCGATTTCTCCTCGAAATGGGGGCCTTTGGGTCTAAGGTGACATCCTCAACAGTTCAAGAGTTTCCAGGCTTGCCACCATGGTGAGATTCCTTCAAAATGGAACTGGACACATTTTTAGACTTCTTTGGATTCCTCCTGAGGAATCTCGGAAAGGCTCAAAGCTTGGCTCGACCTAGAATCCTTCCGTCACCTAACGAGCTTCCCTGGGCTCACACATTGACTGGTGTTCCGCTTCTCCAAACGATAAAGCTGGCAGGGCTCAATTGGAATGCCCTTGTTGTCGTCGTCATTCACCATGAAGACGGACACCAGCACCCTCTCACGTGCATCCACAGCATGCCATTCCAAATCCTCTGTGAGCTCGACAAACTCATCTCGATTGTACGGCACTTGCCACAAGTGGTTGCATAGCCATTCAAAGCACGGGTCAGCAGTATGCGCAACAGCATATTTCGCTTGCAGGTACGTGCACGGAACTTGGGACACGTGGAACAGCTGCCAATGGCCAAGCTTGTTTCCCAAGAGGCTCTTAACAGGAAAAGCCAGCCCTGGCACTGAATCCACATTCTGTTGAGGCTCAGGATACACAGTTAGGGTGATGCGTCCACCCTGGTAGTTGTTTGCATTGAACCATGTGCCCCGCGGGGCTCCGGCTGTTGCCAAGTCTCCATCGAAGTTCCGGTCCACGCAGTGATTGCCTTTGAGGACTTCACTCCTTTGGATGTCCAGAAGGTTATGGTCACTGGTGGCATGGATCCATTCCTTCACGACACCACGACTCATTGCGCGCAAAAACACTTCTTGAGCCCGCTGCCCGCTTCTCGCCGCATGTGTTCCAAGCTGACTGGACTTGGTCAGAGGTGTCCTGCGAAGTCTTTCACCACTATCTAACATGTCTGGCTCAGAGTCGGTTTGGGTTCCTCTCATCTGCGGTTTTCCTTCCCTCCCCCCCCTTCAACACCTTTGCGTTTTTCTCAAACCCCCCCCCCCCCCCCCCCCAACCCCGCCCCCCCCCCCCCCCACCCCGCCCTCGGCAGGCGCTTCCGCAAGGTCAGCAGGGGCTCCAAAACCGCGGAGCACTTGGAGCACGCGGTGCAGCAGTGCCCCGTCTCGTTCCGCGTGTCCCCTTGCCGGGGGGCCAAAAAAACACGGGGACCCACAAAAACCAAGGGGCCAGGGGGTGAGGACCAGGTGTTAGGACTGGGCACCATAAACCCAACAAAAAGACGCCGCCAAAAAAAGAAGAAGTTTGTGTTCTAAGGGTAGCGATGGTGCCAGGAACGCTTCTCGAAACCTTCTCTGAGGAGGTTCTAGAAGCATTCCGAGAACATGTCCGCCGGGGTCGTGCTTTTCCTCCCGCGACCGTGGGGAAGCTGGCAGCTCAACCGAGCCACGGGGGGAGTTTTTTTCGAAAGGGAAAACGCCCGCCGAAACCAATGCCGAGCGTCCCAGGTCCTCTGACTGATCCCCGACCGGGGAAAGAAATTTCCGGAGAGATGGCGCATCTCGGAAGCGGTGGATTCGGGGAGGGTCCGGTTCGATTACACTCAGACTAACATGGAAGCTGACAGGAGGAGGTTGGAAGACTACTTTCCTTTTGGGGAACCCTGTCCACGTCCATGTTTGTTGGCGGGAGGGAAATATGGCGAGTGAAAACTGAAGGAAAAGACGAAATGGACAATACCAGGGGAGGCAGCGAGCGGGCACTCTCACCGCGAATCATTCTCCCATCAGTCAATCTACCAGGCGTTCGACCCATGTTTGGCAAAAAATGATCTTTGAAGAGACTGGGAAAGATATGATGGGACTTATTGTGATACCTTCAGGGCATGCTTTCCCGCTGTGAAGAATAAGCCCTTCTCTGGGGCCAATCCCATGACCACTGCGCAAGCTTCAACACGAGTTCCTTTTCATTTCATGGTCATTGGAGCTCAGATGCAATCGAGATGTGCAAATCTGAGGCCATCTCGTTGCATCGCTGCACACGGCGACACCCCAATGAACCAAGCAAACCCCGCGGTACAATGAACAGCTCGAATGCTCGGCCCACAATGTCGATCAGACGAGGAGCGATCAACCAACCAGCAGATGGTTGGACACTTCTGGGAAAAGAAACATGGGAAGAAACTGTTCGCGGGGTGCTGGGGAAGCTTCGCTTTAGCATCCTCAACTTGGTTTGCCAGTGGAGAAAAAGGGCTTCTCCTTTGGCAAGCAAGCCAACTGGGACCTTGGAAAGTGTCTAATCGGCATCCGTGGATCACTTGCTGGTGCTCAGCAGGGAATGAGGGAATGACCCAAGAAAAACCATCCAACTGGTGGTTTCCTTTAATTAAGGGCATCCCCAAATGGTTCATTGCATTTCTCATTCCCTACCGATTTCGCACCAGCAACATGACTATGGCTCAAAATCAATCCAGGAATTGGACCGCAGGTCAGATCGTCCATTCCATTTACCAGGGCACCTATTTTTGACCCACAGCCAACCACCTCAGCCAGAAAAGTGGGTAATGTTGACCCAGGATGAATCAACCCGTGTTCCCTCCAAAAGTGACGAATCCCCACTAAAAGGGGGCACCCCCTACTAATCAACCAGGGGTTTATTAATCCGGGGTTAACATTCACCCCAAAACGGCCAAAACGGGTTGCCTGTCCCCTGATCAGCACCCCCCATTCCCCACCAAAAAACTCCACCGAATTCCACCGCCCGAACCCTCCCTCCGTGACCGCCTTGGATGGAGGAGGCCACGGCGTCCCACAAGGAGTTGGCCCAGCCGCAGCTGCAGCGGCTCCGCACCTCCCGCATGCCGTTCACCTGGCCTCAGCCAGATAAAACTGAAGCTTTGTTTGCTTTGTTTGCTGGGTGTGGTGTGGTTTGCTGGTTTGGGCTTGCCGGGTTTGGTTTGGTCTGGTTGGGTTTGGTGGTTTGGTTTGGTGGTTTGGTTTGCTTGGTTTGGTTTGGTGGTTTGGTTTGCTTGGTTTGGTTTGGTGGTTTTGTTTGACTGACTTCCTAGTGTTTTGTTTGATTGATTTCCCAAGGGCACATCATCGCTTGTGAAACAGAAACCCTTTGAACAAGATTTTGTCGATGGAATACCCTCAAAAATGGCTGTTGGGCACATATCTAGCCATGCAGTGCTATGTCCACCGAAGGCTCGGTTTTCCAAGTAAACTGCCTACCCAGGCATATGAATCCTCCAAACGCAACCCTTTTAAATTTTGAAGTCATCCTTCAGGGCGTTTTCAAAAATCCCAGGGCGTTTTCAAAAAAGAACTGAACAAAGAAGGATTGGCTTATTCTAAAAAACCTGTAGAAGACATATTCATTCCGAAACTCCCCAAACATGTGTCATTTCCACCATTTAAGCAAGACTGACTTGTGCCAAAACACCCTTTGAACAAGACAAAATCGCCTATTTGCGTGAGTCCCCTGCAAAACAAACACATTCCCATTGATAGACTCATTTGTTTAAAGCTGGGGGCAATTATCAGCAAGGGCACTGATTTGGGTCTGCCTCTTTTTTGAGGTACCCCCTCTTTGTGTATTTCGAGGGAAACCCAGCTAGGTCCTCCAGTAGAGAGCTTAGAATAATAGAATAAGGCTAAAAACTGTTTTCTGTCGTCTATTTTGGTAGGGGAACCCTCCCCCCAAAACAGGGGCCTAGTTGGGGGACCTAGCCAGGAACCCAACTTGTGGTTCTCATCCCTCCAGTCAGGACCTTAGTATAATAATATCTTTTTTGCCCAGTGGAAATCAAAAAAGACCCCAAAAAAGCTATAATTCTGGGGAACTCAATCTGGGGTCCGAATTCCTTAAGGGATCCCCAAGTAAAGGGATGGGCCCCCAAAGTGGAAAACAAGAATAAAGAGGGGGACTCATTCTGGGGAAGGTTCGGGGCCCCCGGGCAGGCAGCGCCCAACTCCAGGTGGGGCTGCGTGGGCCTCACCTCCGCCCCAGCCTCGAGGGATCGAGGCTCCGATGGATCGAAGGCGACGGGTCCCGTCCCGGCGTCGTCCGGTTTTCTGGGGCTGGCTCTGTGGAGAAGCTTTCTGCGAAGCCCTGCTAAAAAAAGGCTTAACTTTGAGTGGTTTAGTTCGGAAAACCCGAATTAGAAGGCAAAAGTAAAGTCCTGACATCCCTTGGCAAAATGCGCCAAAGAGTTGGTGAGGGAAACCAAAAGGACAGATGCGAGTTGTTTCAGGAATTTCGGGGGTCGAATCCCTGGAGACATGCAAAGGCCCTAAGGTAGGATGGAGGGAAGGGCGTGAGACCGGGGAAAGGAAATGAGTCTAAAACAGGTGAATAAATCAGGAACCAAATGGGAAACCGACCACAGCAACACACACAACTCACAGGGAAGCAAAAAGAGGTTGATCCCTCTTCCTTTGGCGCTGTGAAATCCAGTCTCCGAAAAAAGCCGCAAGACCACTCAAGACCTCTTCGAATTCGAGTCGGTTCAAAAACTAGATCCATCGAGGTAAGGCGCTTGGGCAAAACCCACCCGCAGTTCCAGCAAAAAAGGAATGTGGGTGCCCAAGGGAACCACCACACACCAAGGCTTCACCGGCATCCCTTTAGCAAGACTCGGATAACCTACCCAAATTCTAGGGGTTGATTTCCCATTCTTTTCAACCATCGTTCTTTTCAAAAACCGAATCCGTTCCCCAGATTTCTGGGTGGTTTTCTAGAAAGATTCGGATCCCTGGAAAGAATGGAAATGGAAGCTACCAGTCGAAAAATTGCCCAAGGGAACCACCACACACCAAGGATTCACCGGCATCCCTAGAAAGACTTGGGTAACCTACCAAAATGGCAGCCCCCAGAGACTCGGCTGGGACCGGAAAAGGCTTGAGAGCTGATTCGAGCGGTGCCTCAGTGGTGGACATGAATCCCAGCCGAAGTCTGATGTCCAAGGCCCAAAGTTCACACCAACAATGGGGCGGCTCGCCTTTTTTTAGGGGGTTGGACCCCTTCAACCAAAAAAACACGCACAATGACAAAAATGTGGTTTTCCTTTAAAAACCAACCAAACGAGGATGCCCTCCAAAAAGCCTGCCGTTCGCCCGGTCGCGATCAGCGTGCCGCGCCGTGACCAGCTGCGCCAGGAAGTACGGCAGCCGCGGGCGTAAGCTCTCCTCGACCGGAGCGCGACGCGTGAGAGGCGGATTTTTGGGCTGGTGGCTCAAAAAACCGGGTAACCCCAAAATGGCTTGCCCCGGGAAAGTGGAAACATGGACCAAAACCCGCGGTTTGCCCCTCCTGTGTAATTTTGAGCCACACCCATATGAGCCATTGGTGCGTTTGAATGTGTGGTTGAAGGGTACCAAGATTCGCACAGAAAACATATGATTTGAGCGATCATGAAGATAGATTCAGGATCATCTGCGGAGATCCTTCACTTGGAACATCCCTTCCGCCAAGGTCCTCTTAATCTCTGAAAAAATCCTGGGATGTTGAAAAAGCATGCGGATCCTAAGTGAATGCCTAAAGGCTCTTGATTTCTGGTTTAGATGAGCGTGAGAATTGGTTTCCACCCCTCTGATTCATGAGTTGTGGGGTCGGCACGAGTCCCAAACGGAGCGAGGCCTTTACAAAAGAAGCTGGTTCAAAAGCGATGAATGCGCTCCAAGGGCGCAACGTAGCCATGATTCACCCCGGGACGTGCAATAGCGGGCCTGGACGAAGGAACAAAATGTGCATCCCCTTTTGGGACTATCCTGATGTCTATTGAACCCCTGTGAATCAATGCTTCCCCGTCTAGTGAACATGTTGTCTGCCAAGCAATATCCCTGACTGGCGCCTAGGATTGGATATGAATCCACAGCATTGTGCTGCCGGTTCATTGGACAAATTCCTGCACCACTTGGGAAATACTTGGTCTCTAACCGTTGGGCCATCCGAGAAGATATCTCTGAGCCTCTCTGCCGGTGTCGATCCGATCGCCTAAACATTGGTGCGCCGTGTTTGTTTGTTTTTTGTTTTTGGCAGGGGGGTTGCGGCTTACTTTAAAGGGAAAACCAAGAAAAAACGCGCCCCATTCGAGGTGTTCCACGCAATAGAGGTCAGGTGTCCCTCCCCCCTTTGCCCTGGGACCCTGGCGACGTTTTGTGCATGGGGTCTATACTTTTGACGACCTGAAATTGGATCATATGTGGCATCAAACATCCTTACGCGGGTTCAAAGTCTTGCAATGATTGCAAAATAATTACCTGTTACAATCTCCATGACCATCCCTACCAACCCCCAACCCCCAGCACAAGGGCCTTTTGACCATACTGTGGATCTGGTCTCAAGTGCTTTGTCGCAAAATTCATACGGCTTCATCCATCCCAACTGAGGCATGGTGAGGAATTTGTCCATCCACAGTAAGATCATATGGAAATTTTACGAAATGGAATTCAGACCCACTGGCTGATTGGCATTTCACAAGAAACAAAAGGAACCCCACCATTTTAGCGGAGCCCTATGTTGAGACAAATCCATTTAGGGCTGATCTGGGGTGAACCCGCTTTCAGTTGATACTGTGGGTGGACGAAATCCTGCACCACCTAAGCAGTCCTAGAATGATGATTCCCCTGTCAATATCAACAAACAAATGGTTTCCCATGGTTTCAAAGTGGTGCAGGATTTCGTCCATCCACAGTAAGGAAAGCCAAAAAGGAAACCTACCACACGGAACCCATCCCTGTGAGACACCATTGGAGTCGGTCAAGTCTCCTGCCGCTTGGGCGCCGGGTTGTCCAGCCAGGCACACTCGTCGCCTCCGAAAGAACCGAAGGCGGGTCGAAACGAGCGGAGCCAACGAATCAAAATTGAACACTTCCATTTGGTTAAGACCCCTGGACAAAACACAAATATTTCCAGTGACAGATTCCCTTTAAAACCAACAGGGGAAAATAACAAATATTCTTAAGCAAATTGAAGAAAATAGGGGGCCCTTTTGGTGGACATCATTTAGGTGGGAATTTATGCACACCAACCACGTCGCCTATCGAAATTCATAGCAATCTGAAGGTCTTTCATTTGTGCTCACAATGTTGACCCTTGATCCGCAATCCCATGGTTGGTTCGGGGAGGGTGAAGGCAAACATGCCCAAGATTCACTGAATCATCCCGCACATGTATATGTTTCCCCACGGGTTTAGCATATGGAAGAGGCTGCAAAACGCAAGACCAGACATGCCAAAAGGCCCTGACATATGGTTTTGGTTTTTGCTGGGGCATCCCGAATAAACCCACCCTGCTACGAAAGGACAAACAACCAGCATCAAACGGTTCCCAAGTGGAGCCCAATGGCTTATATTCACCCTATCCCCCAACATGACAAAGGAGTACTTCTTTCTTCTCGCAGGGCCCCACATGCCACCCCGCGAAGGACCCGCTTGGCGTCCCGGCGAACGCAAAGTGTTAAGTCACTGGAGGCCCCCCATGGAACAGGCAATTCCCGTCCCTCGGAATGGGGATCCGCGGCATCCCGTGTTTCCTGAAGGTACTTGCCGACGCATTCCTTCACGAACGCTTCCTCTTACTCAGAGCAATGCCTTCCTTCGGAAAGATGGATGCTTGAGATTGCAACATGTGGTGCAACCGACAACCCCGAGCCGAAAACCTCAAGCTCCAGTTCCATGCATCTAGACGTCCACCAAAAGCAGAGTCGAACTTTTTTGGGACATTCCGGGCCCGGACGAGACATCTTTGGAGCCCAAGCCTGAGTTGGGTTTCAAAAGGTGAACTCGCATAACAAGCCGGATGTCCCTACGGGTTGTCCTCTTCGAAAACCCCATAACTTGCGGGTGCGATAGGCAGGGAGTGAGAAATGGAATGACCCCGGTCCCTTTCAGGGGCCAAAGCCTGGGTTCATTCCCTTCCCGATTTCGGACCAGCAAGTAGATTCCAACTTTAAAGCCGACAAAGGAAAATAATTGAGGTTTCTTAATACTACTACACTACTACTACTAATAATAATAATAATAATGAAAAAAAAGACTATAGATGTGCCTTCTTGTTTCAGGGCACCCTTGTTAGGTGTCTCAGCTCCTGGTTTCAGCTGGCTTTTTCACCACGATCCGCGCCTTCGCCCTTGCGCAGCAGCGCGGGCAGCTCCTGATCCCGCGAGCGCTCGAGCTGGGGGGGGAGGGGTAAGCGAGCGGTTGCCTTAGGCTCGAGAGCACGGAGCGGGGGTGAGGGGGGGGGGGACTGAGGAGGCTGTAGGAGGGCCGTGGGGGCGGTGGTCTCAAAAGGCGGTGGTGCTTTTGGAGGTTTTTTTTTGGCTTTTTTTAAAGGAACCAAAAGGAAGCAAACCACAGAAAAAGGGGTCTTTTCTCGGAGAAAAACAAACACACAAAACGCAAATCGGAGGCATGCGGCATGGCCGAAATTCCGAATCTTAGCAGTAGGAACCCTTGCCATTTGTCTCAAATCCTCATTAGGTTATTCACAGATCCCAAAAGAGGTTGATGACCACAAGCACAACCCCAAGGGGCGTTTGACCACGGCACATACGAGGGATCAACACATGCAGTTGCAATTGGGCAACGGCGAGAGTCGCGGACGAGGGCAGCGAGTTGCCGTCCGTCAGTCTCGAAAAAAGGTCGCTCAACTCATGTGGTCATGGGTCAACATCCCGTACCCCCGGTGAGCATCCCAATCCTCACTACAATAGACTAAAATGGGTGGTGCGCCTACCCCAAAATGGTACCATTGGTTTTGACCCACAGCCATTTGGGATGCCACTGCACCCAGTTTCAGCCCACTTCCAGGTTTAGCCTCCCTGCTGCACAGGATCCTGAACGTTTGCTCAGGTCAAGGGTCGCATTCCGGTGCTTCGCTATTGATGCCAGCCCTGCGAGCATTTGGTGCCCGTGTTCGTGATGTTTTAAACATGTGACCACAAATCAGAGGGACACAACCCCCGAACTGTCAGGGCGGAACTCTGAGCCCACAGATTTCTGAGGCTTCAACCAGACTTGGCACCTGAAAAAAACACACAACCCCTCTGAGCGGAAGGGACCTGGGCCTTAGGGAGCGGATAGGTCCAAGCCAAAGTTCGGTTAGCGTACGATGCTGACTTCATCTTGAAGCATGCCACGACCCCGTTCCAGTAAGTTAGTTTTTTTACATAGACATACATATATATATATATATTACATTTGAGGAACCTTTAGAAACAAAGTCAAAATGACATGGGTCTGTTTCGCTGAAGGCACCCTGCGCGCTACAGCCAAAATCAGCCAAGGGTTGAATTGGTTTTGACCGCCTTTGCTTGGTCAGGGATTTGGGGGAGGGCCCAAGGTGCAGAACATCTAACCGGATCAGAGGACATCTGCCCATTCTTGAAGCAGAACTTTGAGCAAGAAGTGGGACTTCTGGCCATGGGTCAACATTCCGTACCCCCAGTGAACATCCCAATCCCCACCAAAATAGGTTCTCAACTGGGTGGTGAATTCACCTACCCCAAAATGGGATCGCATTGGTTTTGACAACCACTGCCATCTGGCGTGTTTGCTGCTGCTCAACTGGAAGAAACTGAAGGCGCCTCCGCCAGAGGCCCAAAATCAAGGCGCAGCCCATCCGCCCCCCTCTCGCCCCTTTCGCATCGCACGCCTCAAGCGCACCGCCCATGGCGGCGGCGAAGGTCTTTGCAGCGTCGGAGGGCAAGCTCTTGGAGCCTGAAAACCCCGCAGTCGTGGGAGAAATGGCTATGAGTCAAAAATGCAACCCAAAATGGGTTGCCCTAGTAAAGGGAACCAAAGACTAAAACCTGCGGTCCCCTGGTAGTTGTATTTTGACCCATACCCAAATGGGTTGATTGTTCATTGAAAACCCATTGGTGGACGACACCAGCCATGTTCTTTTTCAGGGGGTTCTCTATTGAAATTGCCGGGTTGAGCTTTGTTTGGATGACCATTGTGGAAAACCACGAAAAAGATGATGTGACCCGCACGTGGGAAAGGTGACTGGTCATTTGGGGCCAGGAATAGCTTTTCCATTGAAAGCCCCAAAGGTGGACGCCCATTCCATGTTCCCTTCCTATTGAACTAAGTGAGCATGGTGGAATCATAGAGTTTACTTCACCAAGCTGCCACAAGCAGTCTCAAGACTGTGGTGTCCCTGGTGGGAGGCAAGGTCCAATAAGGTCGAGTCATACAACAGCCCAGAGAAGGTTGCAACCATAGGTGTCCTTTTCGGGGAAATAGATGGCCATGGTAGATGATGAAACCACCACATAAACCAGGGCCATCTATTTTTCTAGCAAAACAACCAAAAAGGACACCTATGGTTGCAACTCAAATCGCCCCGATTGGGGAGCCCAATGTGCTGATTCACAGTAAGAGGTGGCCGTGGCCCAATTATGAGTGGTCATGGGTTTGTTTCCGGCGACATTAGCCACTGGACAAATGGGGGCACTGCTCTCTTTGTACCCCATAGTTTGGCCCTTTGGTACCAAACCTCACAATCCAAAGTCAAGGTCAAAGGCATGGGCGTCCTTTTAGGGGAAATAGATGGGTTTCCCTGGTAGATGAGGAAAAACCACCAGGTACACCAGGAATCGCCATCGATTTTTCGACCAAAACAACCAAAAAGGACACCTATGGTCAAAGGCGTTCTTTGGCGTCCTGGGCCACGAGGGGCTTTGACTCAACAGCCCATCCACCTGCCAAGAAAGACTCAGGGGCCAAGCAGGTGATAAGCCATCACCTTCCAAACGGGTGATGTTGAACACCACCCAAAAGCGCAAAGACCGTGGGGGCTGATCTATATTCCCCTTCGGCCCCAAAATGCCATGGCGAACTCTTGACCCATTGAGCGGTGAAAGTCATGGTTTTCTTCTCACTTCCTGAGTGGACTGGCCAAAAACACCTCTGTTCATTTACCACTAATAGAATGGCAACCAAAACAAAAATAACATAAACAAAAAATCACCCAAAAAAACAAAACGGTTTCAAGTCCGAAATTTTGAACTCACGTGGCGGTGTTGGGGTTTTCCCCACTCCCCCCACATCTCCCCCCACATCTCCCGAGGCGGGCGCCGGTCTCTTTGCCCAGCGCCCGGCACTGGAGGCCCCCAGGCAGGCGCAAGGCCAGGGACCTGGCGCGGAACGCGCGCTGCGAAGAGCCGAGAGCCGGCCGAGCTCCGAAAGAGCCGGGAAGCCGCCGGGTTTGAAGCACTCGCGGAACTGGCAGACCCCCCCAAGAAACCCCCCAAAACCCGCCCCCCCCCCAAAACCCCCCCCCAAAACCCGCCAAAACCACCCCAAAAACTAGAAAGTGTCTTCAGCTTTCGAGGGACTCCTCCCATTCTTGGGTTTCCAAAATTCCCAACTTTGGGGGGGGGGACTCGATATTTCTCTCTGGGGTCCAACTCCCCATAGTTCCAGGGGGCGAAGTCCTCCACGTGGATCTCTTTGTGTTTCTTAACTGTTTGTTCGTTTAAGCGTCTTCAAGTGGAAGGATCCTCTAGGGAACGGTTGGTCCCTTGCCCATTCTTTTCGATCATCGTTCGAACCCGAAAGTCGGATCTGTTTCTCCCGGGTTTCTGGAGGTGTTCTGGAAGGAAGGATCCCTGGAAAGAATGGGGGAGGTACCCCTAGAAGTTTGGCATTCACGCCCCCAGGAAAAGAGAAGGAACAAAAATCTATGTCCAGTGAGATCCATTCCCTTTAACGCCAGGGGAAACTAAAAAGCGAAATCGATTTCCGGTGAAATCGATTTCCTGTAGGGAAAAAGTACAAAACGGAATAAAACACGTGGAATGAATGAGTGCTGACCTCCAAGTGGAAAACATCCCTGGATTTCCTACTGTGGATGCTCGCCAAATCCCACGAAATCGCACCACGAAATGAGACCAGGGTTGAAACCATTACGTTTGTTGGTATGTGCAGGGGAATCGAATCATTCCAGGGTTTCTGAACGGTGGTGCGAACGGATTTCGCCCATCCACAGCAGGGAATCCATGGGTTCATTGGGATCCATTAGAATGAACCCTTTGTTTGTGGGATCCATTGGTCTGGCTTCGGTTCAGAGGATCCTTGGCTCATTCCCAAAACCCTTGTTGATGGTGGATGACCAGACCCAGTGGGGCACTCCACCTTTGCTGTTGCACGAGCAACATGTATTGGAGTTGCCTGGAGAAACAGAAAGATGTGCCCCAAAGTTGGGCGAAGCTCCAACTATCTGCCAAGTTTGGTTCCCTCGATGTATCTACGAAGGATGAAGGCAAGCCACCCCTGGCACTGATTTCCAGTCTTTCATGTGATTCGAGCAATCCCAAAAGAATTGGATACCGGGACCTACACAGCGTTGGCCCGTCACCCAAAACATGTGTGTTTGCATCGAGGCTCGAGACCCCAGCTCAGATTCACCGACCGATTGCGTTGCCAACGCATGAGAGCGCCTTCGGAGGGAGGGCTCGAAACAAATATCAACCATCTGCAAGTTGCAACGACAATCACGTCAACTGGTCATAAAGCAATTGCTCGCAAATGATAAAAACTCACATTGCCATTCCCAGCCGCCCGAAGCTGCCCGACTCGGACTCGCCGCAGGAACATCGGCGAACTTTTTCGAAACCCGCGAGGAAAGGCGCGCCCTTTCCGGGTTCGGGGATGAAATTCCGGCGAGCGGGTGGATCTGCACAGGAGCTGCCTGAACGCCTTACTAGGTCTGGGGGCCCTTGAAACACCTGCAACTGACGACTGATACTTGCTAGCAACTCAGGTCAGAACCAGGCCACTCGGCAACCGGCCTAGTTTTGGGGGGATTCCGGGTTTCTACTATCCCAGCAGCCAGTGAGTTGGGCTCTGCCGATGCTCATGTCCGCAAACTACCAGAGCGGTTGTGCTTCCTTGGGAAGGTATCAATTGAGTACACAAGTAGGTTGCTTACACAAAGACTTGAAATGACAATGTCAATAGCGAAGGGTTATCAAACTTGCCAACATCAAAAATTGGCCCACACAATCCACATGTTCCTACTAGTTCCAACACTAGAACATTAGCAAGGGGATCTTTGCAAACACTGCTTCAACATTGCCTCGATCGTGTTCTATCCAGAATACGTTTTTCTTTGCTTCAGAGCTTTCTTCTATGGCGGAAAACCGGAAGACCAGTTTGCTCTAACAGGGAACCTCTGTTGGTTTCAGGTCAGTGTCCACCCCAGTTTCTATTGATCACTTGGCGAAAGTACTCAAATGTCTCTTCTGAGGAATGCCAGTGTCCCCCAACAGCTGCATGCTTTGGGGACGGTCTTGCCCAAATAGGCTTTGGAGTAATGCGTTGGCTGCGGGCTGTTCTGGAAAAGTTTCGGATACCACCTCTCGTCATTTTGGTTGCGGGTATCCTTTTTGGGTCGGTTCTCAAGGGAAGCCACAAGGAAAAAAACACCACTGTGGGTCCCCTTCAAAAAAGCCCAGCTCTTGTCATTTTGGTTGTGGCTACCCTTTTTGGTTGGTTAAGCCACAAGGAAAACCGCCACTTTGTGGGTCCCCTTTAAAACAGCCCAGCTCTTGTCATTTTGGTTGTTACCCTTTTTGTTTGGTTAAGCCAGGAAAAAACCGCCACTTTGTGGAAAAAAACCACGGAGGCACCTCCACCGGTTTGTGGGGCGCGGTTCTTTCCGAATCCACCAGCCCCTCACTCGTAGTCGCAGACCGGCCGCGGCATTGCCTTGGGCGGCGGACCCAGCGCCTTGAGCGCGGTCTGCGCGCCAGCGGAGAGCGAAGGGACGCTCGGCCTGGGGAAATTGTGAGTGCGGCGGTCTGTCTGAGGCGAGGGCACTACAGGGGGTTGGCCAAAAACGTGGGAAACATCTGCTGGGTTTGGCCCAAAGCGTGGGAACTATCTGCTGGGTTTGGCCCAAAGCGTGGGAAATATCAGCTGGGTTTGGCGAAATATCGACCCAAAGACCTGTCAGGTGGAAGTCTGGAAGTCTGAGGCTACTCTGTCCAAGAGTGAAGTGGAGGGAGGGGTGAAAGGGCAAATGGGGGTGGATCAATATTCCCATTAGGGCGCCCAATTGACCATGGGTAACTTTCCCATTTAGGGGGAGCTATCATCCCAAAGACCTGTCAGCTTCCATGATTGGACAAACGGTCGTTTCTTCCGGCCTTTCCAAGGCAGTGTGCAGAAACCTCCAGCACGGTCCTGACAATTCCTGATGAAACATCACCAAGGGAGCCCCACCTTAAAAGGGACCTCAAGGTGATGCTTGAAGCCACCAACAGGAGGAATATATTTTCCTTCGGGAACCCTGTCCAGTCTCTCAAAACGATGGCCGGCCAAGCGGCCTTAAGGTCCCATGTTGGACAACATGCCAAACGCCCTCCCACCATTCCCATCCACAAACTTGGAAGTGCACAGACCCCTTTCCATGTTGGCGGGAGGCTGTCCGATCAATATTGCCAACCCGCCTGATGGGAGCGCGAGACTGCATCCACTTCTGACCAATCACTTGCTTTGGCCTGGGTGGCTTCATCTGCGGCACCCTTGGCAAGCCCTCGGCTGCCGTCCGCTCATCTCGTGTTGGGGCCGGTCTACCGCTTGGCATCTGCTGCTGCTTCGGTAGCGCTCGGCCGTTCGAGTATGGCATCTGCTCGGCCTTCTTTGTAGGCGATAGTGCCCTCTGCAGCGCTTGCTTTGGCGCCTCGTGCCTGTTTCCAGGTGGCATCTGCTCTGCTCTCTTGGGGACTGCTGGCCGAACTGCTGAAGGCATCTGCTGCTTCGGTAGCACTCGGCCGTTTGCAGATGGAACCGCTTGCCCATTTGACGGCGCCCTCCAGAATGCTTGCTTTAGCCTGTTTGGTGGCATCTGCTCAGTTTTCTTTGGAGCTGCTAGTTGCTTTGCGGGTACCTGCTGCTGCTTCGGCGCCACGCGGCCATTCTGAGATGGCACCTGCTCCACCTTCTCGGGCACTTGCCCATGTGACGCTGCCTCCCAAAACGCTTGCTTTAGTGTGCTTGGCGTCTGCTCGGCCTTCGTGGGCACTGGTCTTTCTGGCATCTTCAGCTGACTCTGCCACTGTGGCGGCGGGTGTCCCGGCTGCTTTGGCCTCTTTGGGGGGGACCCCGCCGTGTCAGGACACGGCGCCGGCCGCTGCACCGGCCCGGGGTTCAAAGGTCTCCACGCGGATCCCGGCGCCGGCGCCCGCGGCAGCCACGGCGGCGGCGGTTCGGAGGGCGGGGTGGGAGTCATGCGGGGCTCCTTTGGCTCGGCACACTGCTCCTGAGGCGAGCAACTTGGCCATGGATCAAAACCCAAATCGTACCCCCAGCGAACATCCCAATCCAACCACTAAAATAGGTTCTAAAATGGGCGGTGAATTCACCTACCCACCAAAATGGGATCCCAGTGGTTTTGACAACCACGGCCATTTGGAAACAGGAGATGAATTCGGGATGCAATTTCTGAAGAACCTACCAGCCATTGAAACATGCAAATGGTTCGACCCAAAGCAACGTATGTTGTGCAACAGGATTAGTGGGAGTAAGATAACTGTGATGACTGCAACAAGCTGCAGTAGGCAGAGCTCCCATCCATGTCGATAATACGTTCTATGCTCAAACCACCTCACTTAGCATGCTAAATCACCCTTTCAGTCATGTCACAGTAGGCTAATTGGCTCCATGACTGAGTGCGCGTTCACTTTCGGGTTCCCTCCCAGCGAATTTTCAAGAATCACCGCACCTTCTTTGTGGCGCTCAAATTGTCCCCAAAACCCCGAAGCTGGCCTCCAGCTTCACTTTGTGCCAATCCCCTGGGTTCAACCCGTCTTGGCTTCTACCGTCTACCCCTCTAGGTGTGTGTGTTTTTACAGGCAAGCCAAATGCACACGAAACTTTTTCGCTCTTTTACGACCGCAAGGGATCCAAGGTCAAGTTGTGGTATAGACCAAAGCCTGGCGGTCTAATGGGGTGGCTGGAATGCAAGGAGCTTGCGCATTCCCATACTAACCCATAGTTTGCTTCTCTTTGCAACAAACCAAAACTCAGCGCCACGGCCCACCCGAAAAGGCGGACGACCCACAGCCACAGTCAAAGTCCAACCAGACAAAGGATACAATCCACAAAAAAACACCCAGAGGCTGTGTGAAGGACCTGGGAAGACTCACCTTCCGACCCCCGGTGTTTGTAGTTGATTTCTTTGACCCTCAAATGGACAGGCTGGACTAGACTGGACCGAACTTCGTGTGGGACTCAGGTTTGGGTGGAGACCATCCCCAAAACTAAGTCTGGATAGACCATATGGGGCATGATCCATCACTGGTGTGGTGGGTTCCGTCCAGGGTAGTAGAGATGTTTTCCAACAGACCGTGTGCCACTGCGCAAGGCCTTTGCCGGAAACTGTGTTTCATGCGACCCCCCAACACCCAATTCCCAATTCCCAACCCAGCGTTGTTTGGCAATAGGGCAACCCCAACCCAAGAAATGGACATGAGATTGCTGCATGAGTGGATACTGTGAATCAAGCACAGAACAAACGAGAAACAAAACAGACACGAGCTTCTTCCACTCATGGCATCTCCGATTCAAAAGAATACTGCCATTGAGCAATTTAATCACTCGGCTCATAAGCCTAGAATCTACGGTAATATACGGAGTAGTGCAGTAATAGCACATTGGGATATTCGTACCGTAGCCTCTGAGTGGTATACTCGCACTGTTAGGAACAGTAGTCCTGCCCTTTCACCCCCCCTCTTTGTCACCCTGTCACCCCCTGTCACCCCCCCCCCCTTTTCGTCTGTCACTTTCACCCCCTGTCACCCCCACCCCCCCCCCCCCCACCCGTCATTTGGATCATTTGGATCAAGGCGCCCAGTTCTGCGCGCTCAAGGTGCCGTCCCCGAAGCTTGCGAAGCGCGCCACCAGCGCGCTCTTGCGGCTCCGCGGGGCCAGCGCGATGCAGGTGATGGACTTACGGAACAGCGCCTCGCGTGGCCCAAGCGGCGAAGGCGAGGGGCTGGGTGGGGCGCCTTTTTTTTTGTGGGGGAGGGGGGGTGTAGGAGGGTTTCAACCGCTGGGATGATATGGCCATGGGTCAAATCCCGTACCCCCAGTGAACATCTATCCCAAAATAATACCATTGGTTTTGACCCACAGCCATATTGTTGGAGGAGGTTTGGGCATTTGAAGCCCTGGTTCTTTTGAGGGTAAACCGGATCTCCTCGCGAAAACCAGGCAATGGGTGGTAGCGCCCAGGAATCCCCAACGAGGCCGAGTCAGAGACTTGGGGAGCGGTGGGGATGTTATCCCAGGGCTATGGGCGAAACTTGTTTAGACCTGGCCCACTGCCAAAGGAGGCAGTACGAGACTGAAGCCGCCATGGGGTCTAGTCATGGGGGCCTGGAACATAGCGATTCCGCTTTGTTGTTGTCATGCACCGGTGAATAGAAAAAAAAAGGTAGACAGGGGCAATGACAAAAGGGAGCAATCAACCACACCAAGGTGCGTCTGTTTTTAGGGGACCTCCCAAAATGATCGTTTCCCTGTCGGTTTCCCTTTAAAACCACCCAACAAGGGCGGTACCCTCAAACAATTCTGGAGTGCTGAGCCTTTTGGCGGGCAGGTGGAACAAGTGGAAACCCCTGGTCCGCATGGAACCAGAACAAACAAGCAGCATATATCCCAAAATGATGGTAAGATCATGAAGCGTAGACCGGAGAGAAAAGAGAAGAAACACCAACCAAAGAAAACACTCTTTTTGATGACTGCTCCGCTATTGTCCAGCTTTTGCACGGGGACTTCATTACAGCACTAGATGCACATTCGGAAAATGTTCCTTTGGAAACGGCTGTCTGTAACTCCAATCGTGATGTGATCAGCCTGAATTTGTTGCTCCTTCGCACTGTGGCTTTCCAGTTTCACTGTTGCAGACTTTCGCTCTTTGGATGAATGATGGGGCTCAGATTCCCACGACGTGTTTCCTGTCTTCCTTTATTCATCCTGCGCATATGCATGTTTGTCATATTCGATTGTCTAGTCACGGAACACGCAAACCCTTACCAAAACCAGGGTCGGGCCACCACCAATGTTGTTCGAACGGCTTCTGGCTGGTTTCAAGCGAGGGTCTTGGTTGCAACTTACAAGACTTGCCCACCCCTGCTTACCCTCCGTGAAACATGGCACCTGAAACTCCCGGTACTCCTCCTCGCCCACAGAGCGCCTCAGGTCTCTTCAAAAAGGCCCTGCGATTTTCCCGGCAAACCGCTGACTTTGTGTGGCCTGATTCATTTGGCAAGTCGCATCCGTGAGAGGTCGGTGGACCACAACACTTGGTGAGATTGAAATAAGCGCAGAGGAAAGAAAAGAAGACGAGCGCCCTTCATGGTGGCCGTGGGGGGGGCTGATTGGACCAAAGGGGAAGCGACGAAACCTCCCGGAGCTAGGGAAACACAAGTTGAGTGACATACATATCCACCCTTGGTGCTTTCATAAAGCAAAACGCATGATAAACACGCACACACACAGTCAAAGCGAGGAGCAGTTGTAGTAGCTCCTGCTTCACGTCTACTAATCCTTTAGACACTGGCTCGAAGCTGGTTGAGAATTACGCTGGCGGTTGCCTTTCAAATCCGCAGGGGAGCAAGTGTTGACGCATTGTCCTTTCTGACTACCCAACCCAACTTATCCGCTGCTCCTTGATACGCATCCGAGATCAAGAACCAAACAGCCCCTCTCACCTTGCGTCTCGGAGTCTCAAAGCAAAACAAATACTGTGGATGGACGAAATCCTGCACCAGTGGGTAGGCGACACATCCCAGTATTGATAGGGTTTCAGCTTGTGCAGGATATTGTCCATCCACAGCATTCGTCACTAGAAGTCCCCCAACAATGGCCCTCACAGTAAATAGGCTTTGAGCGCAAGATCCTGTCCGTCACTAGCTTTGAGAGTCAAAGGAAAGGCTTGAGAGGCCCCGCCCGTGCAACAGGGTTCCTCAAACGAACTTGCAGACCCGAGTCAGGATCCCAGGGTTGATTCAGCACCGAAAGCTCGTGTAACTGTTGCCAAGCGAGGGTTTGCAGCAAAAAAAAAACACGCCGGACAAAGAAGCGGAAGCTGAAAGACCCAAAGGGTTTCCACTTGAAATAGGCAGCCAGATGATCAAAACTCACCAAACCGAACAATGTGTTTGTCGACCCTGTAAAGGGGGGCATACGTCTCTTGGGAAAAATATCACCAGGGCCAAGATCACTGAAGCTGTTGCTGTTGATTGTATTTTGCTGTTGTAAAAACCTATTGGGCTGGGCTTAGGGTTTTACAAAAACCCAATATTTGCTCTCCGGTGTGGGTGATGTCGAAGGGGACAGAAAGACGGAAAGGACCTTGTGACCATGGGTGGTTTAGTGGAAACTACCACTGAACCCTAAGAGCCAAAAAAAATCCTCAGGAAACGGACGGCTTTTTTGCCACCAAGTTGAGGGCACCGATTCTATCTTGAGAAGCCACATATGGAACCCGGCACCCTAGACCCCTCCCCCCATTTTCGAGGCGCAAGTCCTCCAGAAATGGCAGCAGCTCCTAGCGGATTGGTGCAAGCCTTTCTGTGAATGGACGGCTTCCAACTCGTGGAGAATTCAAAAAACAACATACCATAGACAAAATCAAAGTCTTACGGATGGATCAAAATCCCACTCGCGCCCCAACCGGTGGACGGAGTTCTTCCATGTGTTTGCTTCTTTAATCCAACTGGTGCCTGTGGATTTGGTCCACAGTAGGTCATGGTCTGAACCTTCTGAGGGACCGTGCTTGCTCTGCTCGCTCGTGGCTGCTAGGACATGACTGACCCAAAGTGGCGAAGTCTCATTCATGAAAGCGCAAAAAGGAGGAAAGTAGTCTTTCTACGGGGTTCTGTGCACTTCCATGCTAGCTAGTGGGAGGTTACTTTGGCTTTTTTGGGTTGGGCCATCTCGGTTGACCAGCTCATACTATGGATGGATCAAACTCCCCTTCGCACATTTCGTTGGACGGAGTTCTTCCATTTCTTGGCTGCTTGCGGATTTGCTAGTCAGGTCATGAGCCATTCATGAATTCGGCATTTTTCAGATGCCCTGGGGATTGTTTTATTGGGGAAAGAAAGAATCGGCATCTTTTCGGTTGCTTGACTTTAAAAGGAATCGGAACCCTTTAAATAAAAGAAAGGAAACAAGGGGCACCACTGGGCACCTGGGATTTGCTATTCACAGACCATGGTCTGAACCCTGAGGAACCGTTCAGAACGGCTGGCTCGTGGCCGCTAGGACATGACCCATGACCCACTTTGGGCGAACTCTCATTCATATCGGTCCGTCTTTTAGGGGTCCCGGGAGCCCAACATGGACTCGGTGTTCCTTTTGACAAGTCACCCAAAGGACAACTGTGTCACTTTCCACACGGAGACGGTGGCCTTGCACCAGTGGTGAATGGGAAGAATCCCAAAACCCACTTGGAGTACGGCTGGACCACTGACCACATGGACTTGAAAATAGTCCAGTTTGTTGGATGGACAGAGTTTGAACACCTAATTCAAATTGACAAACCCCCTCAACATACACTCCTGTGGATTCAACTAAAAATCCCAACTAACAATCAGTGCGTTAACATCATTATGTCGCCTTTCAACCCTGCAGCTGGTCTGATGACTTCTGTTTTGCCTTTCTGGTTTATGGGCCCAAACTGGCGGCTGGTCGAAAAAGCCACAAAGGGGTTGAAATCAGAAAACGAGCGAAAGAGGAAATCTCCTGTTTCTGAAGGCATCTCATTCAAGGGCACAGGCCGAGCAACATTGCCACTTGACGCCCAAAAAAAGGAAGTTGAGGGACCCTTCAAGGGAATTCTCCACCTAAGTCTGCCCGACCCAACCTGGCGGTCGTGCTGCATCAGCAGGTCCCCAATGGCATAGTGGGGCTGCCGCCACGAAGGCAGTGACAGGTGGAAGGGCCCCACGTGGCACCCCTGGCGACAGGCAGACTTGGGCCACCGTTCCGCTAAAGAAAGGGAGTTACCCCAAAAAAGATCCATGTCTTTTTGGGATCCCCACTTTAAACCGTGATCAACCCAACAAGGGTTCCCTCTTGTTTTTGCATCCCCACTAAAAACCGGGATCAACTCACCCCAAAACGAGCTGAAGATGCTAAAACTTGCTGGTGCGATAGGTAGGGAATGACCGTTCCAAGTTTTGGGAATGAACCGGTTTTGCGGCTTCCCTTAAAGGAAATTAGAGGGGATTGTTGGGGTCATTCCAACTCATTCCCTGCTGAAAACCAGCAAGTAAACCACTGTTGCTTGAACAATGTCGTGTCTCCTGTAAAAATCACCCATCAACAGGACTTGGCCAAGACATTCCCGAACATGGGGCATACGAGGACCTGCTGGGCTACAGGCCAGAAAAACATGACTGGGCGAAATGGAGCGAGATCAGCAGCAAATGGCCCTGCGTGGGCGATATCACCAAGTCCAAGTCAGCGGAACATGGTTGTCTGTGGGTGGTTTCAACCACTTACAATACTTCGAGAAGCTTCATAAACTGCAACCCACATACAGATTGAATAGCGTCCGGATGAACACGTGAGACAAAGCAAGGCCGCGCCAGACATACTTGCCAGCAGCGGCAAGGAGTACAAAGGGTTGAGCATAGTTGGGCAGGACACTCTGCGACATATCTTGCAAGTCGGTGGAAGCGGAATATTGCAAGCAAGCAAGCAAGCACGCAGGCAGGCAGGCAGGCAAGGAAGCTGGCAGGCAGGCAAGCAGGCAGGCAAGGAAGCTGGCAGGCAGGCAAGCAGGCAAGCAAGCAAGCAGGCAAGCAAGCAAACAATCTTTACACGTCGTGAAAAAACACATTAGTTAACAGCCAACAAAACACATGAAAACAACACCTGACCTTGCAAACCAGCCAGCTGTCCGAGTTAGTCGGAACGTACGTTGGGCCGTCGCACGGCTGACTGGTCAAACTAACGTGTGCCACACCAACTGCGCCCTTAAAGGCGAAAAACAACCTGACATTGATCAAACAACCGAAGTTTCAACACGCAAAGATTTACTATCTCTATGCTGCGACCGATCACACACAACCATACACACCTATGTCAACATGGCATCTTTAACAAGTGCCCCAAAAAAGACTTTAGGTATGTTTCAAGAAGTTCCATGTCCCTGCCCCGCGAAAAAAAAGTAGTAGGGCAAAACTTACCGTTTTCTTTTTGATGCGCGGTTCCAACCCCGCTCTCGCCCGGTGCAACTGGCGCCTCCATGCACGCATTCTTCAGCAATGCCAGATCCTGGTTCGTGGCATCCTGCCCAAAGAGCAACACGATGATCTGGCGGATCTCCGGGTTCTGCTTCTGACAAAACTGCCGATTGACGCCGAAAGGCACCACTTGGACGCCTTCCTGCGCATGGGGTTCCGTGAGCCAAGCACGGGATTGGAACAAACCCAAACAGCGAACGGCCTGCCCCCTCCTCCTGCTTTTCCAGGCATCATTCAATCATGTGCCCGCGCGCCGCAATGGCAGTGTATAGTGTCATGGCTCCAACGCAACGCCGCCCGGCACGAATTTTCAGTCGAAGATTTGCTTTGCTGGGTCAAACTGAGTTTTTGTGGCCAACATGAGTGTCAGTCACACAAAACATGCTATACCTAGGTTCGTTGGCGTTGAACGCCAACACTGTGTTGCTCCGCTTGCGTTGCGACGTGTTGCTCCAACAGAACAGCACATCACCACCAGCGGTCGAAGATTCGCACAAACTGATGCGTGAAACGCTGAGGGGGGAATGTCTGGTTTTGAAGATGGAGGAATTTCAATATGCATCTTCTTCATCCTGGTAGACTTAAGCCAAACCACTATGATTGACGACTGCAAAATTGAATTGCAAAAGCTATTGTGGCAAGCAGCAGGCACACAACAACACAGCGCCGCAGAACTCCCTCCGCCAGATCGACATGCGCGGGCGAGCTTCCGTTTTGGAGAAGCCTGCTATATCTTTCACCGTTTGTAACGCGGCGACAACACCCCGAAACCGCCGAAACGTAGAACTGCGAACCCTCTGAGAAACGGTAGGCGAGGCAAGTGAACAAGCTGCGATAAGGTTTAACGGAGGAGCGTCTGTTTCCTGCGACAGTAGCTGTTGAGGCTTCTGGCAGGTTTGAAAGAAACGCGGTTGGGGAGACCGCGGGCCTTAAAAAGCAAAGCGGGTGCGCGAAACATGGCAAAATTGTTGGAGGGGGCCACATCCTTGCATCAAGCAGCCAAAGATGTGATTCAGCACCTTTGAACGTCTGCTGGAAAACGCACAACGGCAAAGCAAGGCTGGGCGTGGCCGCGGACGGGGCAAAGCGGGGATGAAGCGGCCTGGGGTCTCGGACCCACAACAAGCTTGGGAGCACCCAAGCTGTAGCTGGTTCACGATTGCCCAAGTGACGCGCGGATTACACAGGGCAGCTCTTGCTCAGCTGGAAGTCTCCCAGCTCAACTGACTACGGCCTTCAGCTGGCAAAAGCCAAGATGCCCGGAACTGCACAGAAACACAGTGTCCACCGCAGGAAGCTACCAGTTACTAGTTGCCACGTTGCCACCGGGCCAAGCCGATTGTAAAAAAAAATCACGCTGGCAAATCAGTTGTTTTCTTGGGACTGGCACGGGTGTTGCTTGCCGGTGCAATGGCGATTTGGCGCTTGAGTCAGGCTCGGAATCATCAACACATGTGAAGGAGTAAGTTAGTCAGGCAGATTGGTTTGGTGATTTCAGCACTTCCTAAATTGGGGCCGTCTCTTGTGTTGGGCTTTCACTTTTTGGGCAGGCACGTCACTGGCACTTTCAAGGAGTTCGAAACCCCCTACACATCAACACGGGAAGCTGAAAGCTTAGAGCAAGGGAAGCAGCGAACCTGGAACGAACAGGAACGCCTGCTCCACAAAATTTCAGAGCCATTACTCTGTGACAACGCCGCTGCGCAAAGTACACAGACACTCGCTTCTTGCGTCACAGCGAGCGGCAGACACTGCGGGCTCTGCGAAGCTCAGCGCAGGCACAAATTGTCCGGTCAGAGAGCGTGGTCACACACCAAGCAGGAAACAACTGTAATGCTTTCCTTTGCGACAACCCTCTAAAGAAGGTCACCCATGGCTGTCCTGCCTTGCTACGTCCGTTTCCTCACGCCTTTCCACACTCTGGCACAGAACTACAAAGCACCAAACACAGCTCGCTTGGGCCTGCTCCCACGCAGCCTCTGCTCTACGCAGAGGCATGCCCATCATTAGTATCCATCAAAACTTGCAGGGAAGCGCTGCTCCAAAGGGCACTTGAGGCGCACTGTGGCTGGGGCCTGGGTCTCTGGCCAGACGATCTGACTGGACAGCCTGCGTTGTGCGCTTAATCAAGACTGCATCACTTTTTCAGCAAAGGTCACGCAGGCGCCGCTCACCGCAACTGTCCACATGGGATACCCCGCGCGGGCCTCACGCCAATGAGCGTCTGCCGCAGAAGGCTGGGAAGCAGTTGCTGCTTGATGAACCGCATTTGCAATCATAGGTTGAATGTGTGACTTCCCCTCGGACTCTTCACTGAATGCGTCATCATGAACAAAACAGACTCATGAACCCAGAGCCGCGAGCCATGACTAGGCTATGTGCTATGTGCGAAGTCCAAAACATTGACATAACAAGTCGCAAGCAAAAGCTGCGCAAGCACAGAAGAGAACTTCACAATTCATTCTTACAGACAACATGACGCACTTGGAAATGATGACAAGTGACAACAATGCCAACGGCACAATGGTCGGGGGCGGTGGCTGCCTACCTCAATCAAGCCAGGCGTTCAACTCGATGGACATGGCGGCGCACAAGGCTTTGCCTGACAATCGTGCGACAACGGTTTGCAAACTGCAACACACCTGTGTAACACAGTGCGACGTTTAGCCTTGAGTTTTGACGCTTGACTGCTTACGCTTGACGCCTGACTGGTTTTGGCCCTTGAACTCGTACGTCAGAGCGTCCCTCAGCGAGCTCTACACATGCGACGAAAGAGCCATCCAGTAGGGCCAGACTCAATAGCTCGAGTTAAACAAATGGGCGCTGGCTGGCCTGACAGCAACGGTGATGGTTCATGATTGGTCCAGGAACTAGGGCCCCAAGTTGTTTTTTAAACACCCCCATGGCCCCAAGGATCAGCAAATGTGGCGCGACAGCCAGCCCTGCTAGCCGCGAGGTCGAAGGCCTGACGACACGATGGAACTGGCGAGGTGCTCAAAGGTGGTTGGCGATCTGTTCAGGAACTAAAAACTGTTCGCGCAGTTGGAATTTGAAACACGCTGTCAATCGGCGTAACATCCAGAGCCAAGAGCGGATAGCCAAGAGTTTCAGGCAACAACAAAGTCAAGAGTGAAAAGGCAAGAGCCAAGAGCCACAGTCACGCACCAAGCGTCAAGACACGAAGTGTCACGAGGGCCCAATGTCCGAAAACAACCTTTTCAACTTGCTGAGCTCGATACGACGATATGAACCAATCAAGAACCGACAATTTTTCGAGTGGCCAACACATCGCGAGGACCCTATGAATTCGCACTCCAAATCAAGCACACGTGGCCAATGGTTGGCACATCGCTGTCACAGTCGGAATCCGTCACTCGCCGCAAAGCCCGGCAATGGTTCTTGGCCATGATCCGTCGCCACGGCAGCATTGGCAAGCCCCACGCCGGACTTCCGCACAGCGTGGCCCGGCAAGAAGTGATCCGCCAAGGTCCTGAGACGGAAGGGCCACACAAGCAAACCAACTAACAACTGCAACTCAACCACAACTGCAACTCAACCAGTGGAAGTTGCCTGTCGGAGCAATTTTGCAACTGCAAGTCGGGGCATGCGTGTCTCCCCCGCAAGCCTGTGACTGTGTGCGCTAGTTGTTTGCGCTCCTTGCCTGGCCGAGTGAGCTGCGACTGCGGAAATTGGAAAGTGTAGGACCTAGGGTCATGGACTAGCAAGGTGTTCGAGGCAAGTCATTCAAGAACATGAATCTAGAGGTAAGGCCCAAGCATTTAGTCAGGAACTCGTCTTGCTAGGCACGCGCGCTCAAAAGCTTTTCTTTCTGCC